AAACAATAGCATCCCCAATTTCCAGATTAACCACAGACAATCTGTGAGTCAGAACTAAATCAAGTGTATGGCCCTGTTGATGAGTTGGACCAACAACATTTTGCACAAGGTTGAAAGATTGTAGCAGATTTAGAAACTCCTACACCAAAGGCTTGTCAGGATAGCAAACGTGCACATTAAAGTCTCCCAGAATCAAGACCCTGTCGTAATTGAGCAGTATTCCAGTCAGAAAGTCAGAAAATTCACTTATGAAGTTTTTGTTGTATGAGGGTGGTCTGTAGATCAGGCAGCACAGTGTTGGGTTGGAGCGGCCCAGCTCAAAATACAGCAGTTCAAAAACTCTGAAAAGGCACAGCCTATAGCTGTCTGCAGTTCCAGAGCTTTTTAAAAACTGTTAATAATCCACCACCCCTACCAGAAGTCCTTGGAGTATTAAAAAAGGCACAATCCACCGGCAAAAGTTCAGAAAAAACACTTAACTCACCAGGGACGAGCCAGGTCTCTGTAACAAACATGAAGTCCAGACCACTGGAGCAGAAATAATCGTTTAAGATAAAAGTTTTATTTGCCAGTGACCTCACATTCAGCAGAGCAATCTTTGTAGAACCAGTAGATGAAGGTAAAGCTGTTCTCCGAGCACAGGTCAGCTGTTTCAGACTTCTGGAGTTTGAACCGCACCTCCAAGGACCAGAAACTTCGCAGCTATGCGTACAGGGATCAGACAGGACCCAGCAGGATCAGCGAAGCACCCAGACAGGCGAATATCCAGCAGATGGTCGGCAGAAGATGATGCAGCAGAAGGACCTGAGTTGGTTAAGTTCCTCTGGAGACGGCCGAAACCACCGCGGCCGCGCACGCACCTGCTACGCGTACCAGGCCCGGGCACCTGGAGCTAGCTGGAGTTGAGTGGGTCAGCGAAGCATCCAGGTGGACAGTTTAACATCTGATGGTCAGCAGTAGATGACGAAGCAGCAGAGAGCTTGATGCTGGCTTTAATCCTCACGAGACAGCCGGCACGTCTCCCACGGCACCTGGAGCGATGTTTTCGGGCGGGCAGAAACGCCGCGCACTTCAGGTAAACCGTGACATCAACAAGCAAAGGGGGTGGGGGTCCAGAGCCCTGATCAAAGTGGTCGAACAAGGCGGGATTTGCAGTAGATAACTGTATATTTAAAAGTTGTTGGTGATCATAAACAAGCAGTGAGTTTATGTCACCAAAGAAAAATGACAAAAACAGAAAAAAAACAATCAAAACAGACAGAGGTGAATGGCAAGCCACCAGCACCGGCGCCATCTTCCCGGAAAGATTGAAGAAAGTTGGATGAACTTCAGGCCCTAACAAGGACCCATTCAGAGTATCGGGAATGCAGTGTTATGTGTTTCACTGAGACATGGCTGCAAGATCATATCCCCGACTCCAGCGTTTCTCTGCCAGACTTTCTGACCATACGAGCAGATAGAGATTTAAAGAGGAGTGGCAAAAGCAAAGGAGGTGGGTTGGCAGTGCTTGTGAACAACACATGGTGTAATCCTGGACATGTTACTGTGAAGTGTCATCTCTGCAGTCCAGATATTGAACTGTTAACACTAAGTTGTTGTCCATATTATTTGCCAAGCGATTTCACCAGTGTTATTTTGGCAACTGTTTACATTCCACCCAATGTTGTTGCCGAGACTGCGTGTGATGTCATCAGCTCCGAGGTTGTTAAGCTACAGACACAACACCCTACTGCGTTTGTTACAGTATTTGTTTAATCATATCTCACTCTCTGCCACACTTCTGACATTCCAACAGTTTGTCAGCTGCTCTACAAGAGAAAACAAAACGCTGGACTTGTTTTGTGCAAATGTCACGGATTCATACATCAGGGGGAGTGGTGGCGCAAAGGTTAGAGAAGGTGGGCCTGTGATCGGAAGATCACCGGTTCAAGCCCTGGTACCGACAACATCAAAAATGTGGGTGGGATAGGTGAAGCACCCACACCTGCCCCCACCCTCATTTGTCCCACTCTGGGCCCTTGAGCAAGGCCCATAACCCCCACCATCTGCTCCTCCAGGTGTCCTAGATAGCAGCTCTCTGCTCCACACAGAGGGCTGTGGTAGCTCAGTGGTCTGTGATTGCGTCAGGAAGGGCATCCGGCGTAAAAAAAAACAACTGCCAAGTCTTTGTGCAACAGTTCGCTGTGGCGACCCCTAACACAGGGAGCAGCAGAAAGAAGAAAAAGAAAAAAAAAGTCAAGGATTCATACATCACTAAAGCAAGACCCCCTCTTGGCAAATCAGATCACAATCTTATGTTTCTCTGCTCAAAATATAAACTCCTTGTTCAGAGACAACCTGCAATAAAGAGAACAGTGAGAAAATGGTCAGTGGAAGCTGAAGAAGCCCTGTAGGGTTGTTTTGAGGCTACAGACTGGGATGCACTGGGTCAGCCACCTGGAGAGGACATCAATGCCATGAGTGAGTGTGTGACCGACTATATAAGCTTCTGTGTACACAACACCATCCCAACCAGAACAGTGAGATGCTTCCCCAATAACAAACCGTGGATCACCACTGACCTGAAGGAACTGCTAAACCAGAAAAATAGAGCCTTCAGGGAGGGAGACAGGGAATTATTGAGGAGTACACAGAAGCAACCAAAAGTCAAGATGAGAAACAGCAAGGAGGTGTACAAGAAGAAGCTGGAGAGCAAGCTCCAGCAGAACAATATCAGAAAGGTGTGGTCAGGGATGAAAAAGATCCCCGGCTTCAAGCAGAAGGAGGATCAGAAGCATGGAAGCCTGGACAGAGCCAATGAACTGAACACGTTCTTCAATAGGTTCAGTTCAGGAACAAGCTCAGCATCCTCCTCTCTTGCCCACAGCCAGACAGACATACCACCTTCCTTTGACCCAAGGCTGTCTTGTCACACCTCAAATATTGTACCTACCACCTCGGTCATGGACCCTTCTTCTTCTAAATGTAGGTCTTCAACCAAATCAGAAGATGCTGATACCTCCTTTGCCTCCCCCCTCAGCATCTCTAGAAGTCAGGTGAGGAAGCAGCTGAAGAGACTGAACTGGAATAAGGCTGCAGATCCAGATGAAGGTCTGTGCAGAGCAGCTCTGTGGGGTTCTGCAGCACCTCTTCAACCTTAGCCTGACCCAGGAGAAGATTCCAGTGTTGTGGAAAACCTCCTGCCTTGTACCAGTACCAAAGAAAACTCACCCATCAGTCCTCAATGACTATAGACCTGTTGCCCTGACATCCCACATCATGAAGCTCCTAGAGAGACTTCTGTTGGCCCATCTTACTAAACAAACAAGCACATATCAGGACCCACTGCAATTTGCTTATCGGCATGGACTTGGAGTTGAAGATGCCATCATACACCTGCTTCAGCAAACTCACTGTCATCTAGAAAGGCAGACAGCACTGAGAGTCATGTTCTTTGATTTCTCCAGTGCATTTAACACAATCCAGCCTGATTTGCTTTATCAGAAACTCCAGAAGACTAAGGTGGAGGCCTCAACAATCATCTGGATCAAAGACTACCTGACAAACAGACCACAGTGTGTGAGACAAAAGGGTTGTGTGTCTAACCAGGTGGTCAGTAGCTCAGGAGCACCACAGGGGACTGTACTCTCACCATTCCTTTTCACTCTGTACACCTCAGATTTCCAGTACATAACAGACTCCTGTCATCTGCAGAAATATTCAGATGACTCTGCATTGGTCAGGTGTATCAGAGATGGACAAGAAGCTGAGTACAGGAACTGGTGGACCACTTTGTGGCATGGTGTGGAAACAATCATCTCATCTTGAATGTGAACAAAGCAAAGGAGATAATTGTAGATTTCAAGAGAAACAGAAACAGGTCCAACCCTATTTCCTTCATGGGAGCAAAAGTGGAGGTGGTGGAGAAGTATAAATACATTAAGGTTCATCTGGACAACAGACTGAAATGCAAAAGTGAAGCCGTCTACAAGAAGGGACAGAGCAGACTGTACTTCTTGAGGAAGCTGAAGTCCTTTAGTGTTTGCAGCAAGATGCTGCAAATCTTCTATTAGTCTGTTGTAGAGAGTGCTATCTCTTCTGCCATCATCTGCTGGGGTAGCAGCACCAGAGCAAGTGACTTAAAAAAGATCAACAAGCTCATAAAGAAGGCTGGCTCAGTTCTTGGGACTCCTCTAGAACCTTTGAAGATGACTGTACAAAGAAGGATTCTTCATAAAATGAAGAAAATTATAGACAGCCCTCAGCATCCTCTTCATCAGACTGTCATAAAATAAGAGAGTGTCTTCAGTCAGAGGCTTCTTCAGCTCTGCTGTAAGACAGACTGCTACAAGAGATCCTTCCTGCCCACAGCCACCAGCATCTAGAACAACTCTTTAATGAAACCAGGATGATGAATTACAACAACATTTAATTTCCCTCTGGGATTAATAAAGTATTTTTGAATTGAATTGAATTGAATGAGATGTTTTGCTAACAAAAATAAAGTTGTTTAAGTTTGAAGCACAGATTTAGATATTTATTTGCCCTCAGAGTATAACTTGGGGCTCGTTCTCAGCTACTACCACTCCCGTTTTTAGCTCTTTCTCTTTAAAATAGCTCACTTTTAGCCATTTTTGTGTTTTGTAAAATTGCTTTGCTGTGCAGGCCATCTTTAAATGGACAGACTCAAAAAGTGAATCAAAAAAGTGAATCAGTTGTTAATGTCAGTCCAAATAGTTTTGAAAGTTTCATTAAATTCCATTCAGTGATTGGAGATATTTTGCTAACTGAACAGACCGAATACATACAGAAAAAGAACTTATTGTTCTGCCTTTGCCGTAGGCGGTGGGTGATAAAGATTAGTTGATGAAACAGCAAAACCAGACATCTTATGTAGTTGCTAACCTTTAATGCATGTATAATTAAAGTTTGAGGCTCAACAGATCAGAAAATGTAGTTGGATGCAGTAAACTGGAGATTTGCAGCTAAAGCTGTTCTTGTCTTATGTCATTTCTCCTCAGGTCGACCACTACCCTTTGTCTACATTCACGTTGCCTCAAGCCTCTGACACACACTTCAACTTGGTCAAAAGTATCTTTCTAGGAAAGGTCTTTGGTAAGTGTGCACATTTAGCATGTAAAGTGTGGAGCATCAACTAGGTGATGTTTCACACTTTACATGCTAAATGTCTTTCTCTTTAAATACTGATGTGCAGTCTGTAGTTTGTAAAATGGGAGTCAAGTCAAGTCGGATTTATTTATATAGAACAGAAATTGTTACCATAGTGCTTAAAAAATTAAAAAATAAGATATATTTACAGCATATGGAATAAAAATATAAAATACAAAACAATTAGAAACAATGAAATACTAACTCTTGTCACCTTGTGTCAACTGTCAAGGAATAATAACAAAAAGTATAAACACAGTCAGAAAGAATGAAATACTAAAACAGATCAGATGACTGTGTGTTAAATAGGAATAAAACAAAAAGTGTAAACACAATCATAATCAACAAAAAAACAAATCTAAATCGGATCACCCTGTGTTAAATGTCAGTGAGTACAGATGAGTTTTCAGGAGAGTTTTAAAAGCGGAGACCGATATGGCCTGTCGAATGTTGATGGGCAGATTGTTCTAGAGTTTAGGGCCACGACTGAAAAGGCTCAATCTCCTCTGAGCTTCAATCTGGTTTTTGGCACAGCCAAAAGCAGCTGGTCTGATGATATCAAAGCCTGAGAAAGGCGCATAAGGATGGAGAAGGTCAGAGAGCTATGAGGGTGCAAGGCCATTAATGCACTTGAATGTCAGCAGGATAATTTTAAAATCAATTCTGACACACACAGGAAGCCAGTGAAAGGAGGACAGAACCGGTGAAATGTGCTCAAACCTGCAAGTTCCTGTTAGTAGCCGGGCTGCAGCATTTTTTACGAGCTGGAGACGTGAAAGTGAAGCCTGACTGACTCCAATATAAAGTGAGTTACAGTAATCCAGCCAGGTTGAAATGAATGCATGGACTAATTTTTCAAGGTCGGGTCTGGACAGAACAGACTTAAGCTTTTCTATCTGCCTTAGCTGAAAGAAGCTTTTTGGAAGAAAAGAGTTGATCAAACTTAATTAAACTTAAAGCCCGAGGCTAAAATTATCCCGAGATTGGAAACAGACTGCTTTAGATATGGCTGTAGGGAGTGCAGGTTTACAGGATTGGTGACAGCAGCAGAGCTAGGGGTAAACACAATGATCTCAGTTTTCTGATCATTAAAACTTAAGAAGTTTGAAGTCATCAAAGTCTTGATGTCATCAAGACATTTTAGCAAAGGGTGGATGGAGCAGGAACTGTTAGGTTTTAAAGGCAGATAAATCTGAGAATCATCGGCATAACAATGAAACAAAATACCATGTTTCCTCAGGATAAACCCCAAGGGGAGCAGATACAATAGCTATGTTTACATGGACACAAGTAATTGGATCACACAGCTGTTCGGAATAAAAATACATCATGTAAATGCCCCGTTCGGGTTAATTTTTGTTTATTCAGCGCAATCCGAAATTATTTGTGATCAGAACGAAACGGGTGGTTTACACCGATTCATAACCCGAATGGTGTCCATGTAAACGCTTGATCTGTTCATTTTTTTCTGATTGTGAAAAACTGACCTGACTGCGCATGTGCAACCTATGTCAGTTCCACCTGGCTAATGCTAATATTATTAGCATGTCGGGGAAGCAAAACTGGTCGGTGAGCGACACAACATTTCTACTAGAAACTTTGAAAGAGCTCAAAATGATCTGTATTACTTGTAGCTCAGTCAGGGAGTGCAGTAATGTCTTCACCGTCATTAAAACCTGTTGCGGGTCTATTTTGGATGCTCAGGTTTGTTTACGTTCATCCCGGAAGTAAACTGGAAGTAGAAGAACTTCTTCTGTGTTTTTTTTAAGGAGAGTTTGCTACTTTGCGCATGTCAGTACTTCTGTTCAGAAAAAAGCCCACTGAATGTAAACCCTCATCATGAACAGATTGTGCCCATGTAAACGATACATTTGAATTATTTAATCTGAAAACATTTCAATCCGGTCGAAAAAATTTTGCGCATGTAAACATGGCTAATGAGAACAGAACGGGTCCAAGAATGGAGCCTTGTGAGACCCCACAGGAAAGAGGGACAGAAGCAGATAAATGATTGCCAAAATTAACACAAAAACTCCTGTCACTCAGATATGAACGGAACCATTATAACATTGCACCCGGAATCCCAACCCAGTGTTCTAGCCGTGACATAAGGATACTGTGGTCAACAGTGTCAAATGCAGCGGTAAGGTCGAGGAGTACCAGGATGACAGTGTCATTCGCTAGCAGAATGTCATTACAGACCCTTACTAAAGCTGTCTCGGTGCTGTGTAGTTGTTTAAATCCTGACTGAAAAATCTCAAAAATTCCATTTTCATTCAAAAACCTGGTTAGTTGACTAAAAACTTTTTTCTCCAAGATTTTAGAAAGAAATGGAAGTTTTGAGATTGTCCTGAAGTTTGAACAAGTTGCAGGGTCAAGTCCGGGTTTTTTAATTAATGGCATCACCACTACACGTTTAAAAACATCAGAAACCGCACCTGTAGCCAAACTGCTGTTTATAATGGCAAGAACAGAGGGTCCAATTGATGGTAGAACTTGTTTAAAAAATGCTGATCCCATCAGCAGGGGAGCCTGAGGGTTTCATGTGACCAACAACATCATTTAAAAATGAGAGAGAAGGTATAGGTGGTCATGAGATGGAGTAGTCGTGGTTTGCCAATGCTCTGGTTAAAACTTACTTCTTAGCACTACCAAGCCATCTACATTTACTTTTTTTGCCTACTATCACACACCTAACCTCCATCAAACATTTCTTTAACGAGATTTTATATTTAAAATGTCTCAAAAGTTGACAAAATCGAGTAAGAAGGATGACGCTGGCCTAACTCTTGAGGCCCTTACGTCGCTGCTTGAGGAGCACCACGCAGCGCTGTCATATGAGTTCAAAGCAACTTTCAATCAGTTGGGTGTCAAACTGGACCAGACCCGGTTCGCGATGGAGGAACACGACCAGCGTGTCTCATCACTGGAACTTGCCACTGATAACCTGAGTCAGACCCACAACACTCTGCACAACGTTAAAGGACTGTATGAGATCTAAAAATACCAAGTTTTATCAGGGCATCAGACAGGAATATTGAAATCCCCACAATTAAAACACTGTCATATTTGAGCAGGATACTAGTTAGAAAGTCAGAGTTCGTTTAAAAACTGTTTGTGGTATCCAGGGGGGTCTGTAAAAAAATAGCACACAGAACCGGGTTGGAGCAGCCCAGTTTACAGCAGAGCTGTTCAAAACTCGAATACTTAGCTGAAACATGTCTGCAGTGCAAATGGGAGGACTGTGAGTGCTGAAACTAAGTCACATGTTTATTACCAAAGCCTTTGTGCTTAGTAGAGCTGTCATTTATAACCCGTGCCCATGCCCAACCTGACCCAAAATTTGGGCCAATATAATGTTCTGGATGGGCAGGCCGGGTCAGGCTTTTGATTGCGTCAGCAGATGAGCACAGCTGACGACCTAATTTGGATTACCACCAGCCTCTCGCGTTCACCATCTGTAAAGTGTAGGATCCCTGGTTTCTCCCTGGCCTGTCTGCACTCACTCTCTCCACAGCTCATCTCTAATTACCCTGATTAGATCCACCTGCTGTTTTCCTAAGGAGGACTGATTGTGGTTGCCTACTTAAGCTGCAGCCAGACATCTCTCCAGTGCTGGGACAACTTCTGCCTATGGGTAAACTAGTGTCCAGTCACTAACCTGTTCCCTTACAGCCGATTCTGATCGATGACTTTCCTGTCCAGGACCTCCATGTCCTGCTTCTCTGAAGTCCTTCCACGGGCCTCGTCCAGCACTCCACGGTGCACCTGCAAAAGCAGCAGAGTCTGGTCTCATCAGCGGTTAAACAAATTACTGGGTCTACCTGTTCCTCTCTCCACCGTGTCTCACCTATTCATCTCCATCGAAACCAGGACCTCAACTCTCCCTCGGCGCCTTCCCCTACAACAACAATAAGATGACTTTGTTCATCTCAAGAATCTAAGTCAACAATTTTGGATACTCACCTCTCCACCATTCTCTTCCAGCTCGTCTCTCCAACTCACCTGTAAATAAAGAACACTTATTTTGTATTCCTGGTTGTCATGTCTTCTTCCTCGGTCTGCCACTTCGGGGTCCAACATACGACATCATGATAGATTGTCCCAGCCAAACTGACCCCTCTGGCATGACTGGGGAGGACCCACTTCAACTAGGAAGTAGTCATAGAGGAGCTTCACAGATTCTAGCTCTACAGCACATTCTGAAACGACAAGAAACTATTCAAGAAAATCTCCTAGAATTGGGTAATATGGTTTTTTCTCTTCAACAAAGGACAAATGATAACTCATCTCTCTTTCTTGAACAGCCCACAACCATGGACCCTACGGCAAACCGGCACGGTCAACATATCAGAGAACCTGACATCAAGCCTTCAGAGTTTTTTGAGGGTGACACAAGGAAGTGTGGTGGTTTTCTGCTTCAGTGCAATCTGGCATTCAGCCGTGCTCCGGTAACTTACTCTTCTGAATCTTCACGTGTGTCATATATCGTTGCCTCTCTGAAAGGTCCAGCACTCCAGTGGGCCAACGCCTACCTCCGCCGACATCCTGTCGAGGCCTTGCTGTTTACTGACTTCATCAGAGACTTTCTCAAGGTCTTTGATTATCCTTTGCTGCAGGAGGAGGCCGCCCAAAAACTATTTTCAATCCGGCAGGGGGAAGAGACGGTGGCCAAGTTTTCCGTTCACTTCCGCATCATCACGGAGGGATCCGGTTGGGGTGAGACAGCACTAAGTAGTGCATTCCTTAATTCGCTCAATAGTAATATCAAGGATCAACTATTTACTAGAGAATTTCCTCCCGACCTCGACGGAATCATAGCTTTAGCGATTAAAGTGGATAACAGAGCACAAGAACGTCAGGTCGAGAATAACTACAACTCCCATGAGCACTCGCCACCCGGAAATGTCTTACCTGCTCCGATTACGTCACCCTCCGAACCTGAA